AAGAACAGTAATTTATTACAGATGATGCCACTTTGGAAGATGGGAGAATTCCTCAAATCTGTTTACCTGATCAATGGGAGGATCGAGATTTCTGTAAAGGATTCAGGAAGGTGGCACATGTATTGGGGCAGGTTGTGTTGAAAGAGAAAAGTGTGCAGGTCTAATTCAGAAGTCAGAAGTTAGTGACAGTGGTGAGTCGTGGCATGCAGGAGGTCTTACCCAGAAGTCACAGGTTGGCGATGGGTGGTGAATCTTGGCATTGTTATCCTGTGAAGAGTCTGCTGTTTCTGGGACTCAAAAGAAAAAAAGGTTAGTTAAACAGAAAGATTATAAATGTTCTGGTCATTGAGTGCTACAGGCCTGGGAATGCAAAACATAAGAAAAACTACAGGGAAACATTACATATATGAAGAGGTGTCATTTTGTGTTTGTTCATGGGACAATTACATTATGAAGATTTACCCTTTGTTTTCTTCTAAGAGTTTTATACTTTTAACTCTTATATTTATTCAGTGATCCATTTTGAATAAATTTTATATATGGAGTGAGGTAGGATGCAACTTCACTGTTTGCATGTGGTATTCTAGTTGTCTCAACACGTTTTTTTTTAAGTGGACGTGTGAGGAGAGGTGTTCAGTTTCCTCCTTTATTTTCATAATTTGTTGAGACAGAGTCTCACTCTGTTGCCCTAGGTAGAGTGTAGTGGTGTCATCACAGCTCACTGCAACCTCTAACTCCTGGGCTCAAGTGATCCTCCTGCCTCAGCCTCTGAGTAGCTGGGGATACAGGCGTGCACCACCACACCCGGCTGCTCTGTGTTTTTCTTTGCTAAGTCTGGTGACCCTAGCTGGAACCCTGACATCTGAAGAGAAGGGGCTCTTGGGAGTGACAGGTATCTCTGAGGGGGTCACAATGATATTGATTCTGTGAATTGTAGAAAAGTGCAAGCTGAAATCAACTGTTGATACTGGAACAAACTGCAGCTGTCAGAGTGAAAATCACTGCCGTGGGGATGCTGACAGGCATAGGAAATAGGAAGAAGGGTAGCCCTTCCTCTTCCAGCTTTGCACTGTCCCTCCGGTGAGCTCTCTTGGCAGCTGGCAAAAAAGATACTGGTTTTCAGTATCAGCTCCACCATCACAAGGCAGAGCATACACAGTGGGTTTGAAGCTTAGAGACAATAGATTAATAACCCGCACAGCTGGGCAGCCTGCCAAGAACATTTTCTCCAATACCCACCTCAGATGTGGACATAGAGAACAATGAACTGGGAAGATCTTTCCAGACAAGAGATCCAGGTGCTGGCTAATTGGCTGATCAAGAACCTCACCTGGTCCGGGCGTGGTGGCTCATGCCTGTAATCCTAGCGCTCTGGGAGGCCGAGGCAGGCGGATTGCTCAAGGTCAGGAGTTCAAAACGAGCCTGAGTGGAGACCCCCCCCCCCCCCCGTCTCTACTAAAAATAGAAAGAAATTAATTGACCAACTAAAAATATATATACAAAAATTAGCCGGCATGGTGGCGCATGCCTGTAGTCCCAGCTACTCAGGAGGCTGAGGCAGGAGGATTGCTTGAGCCCAGGAGTTTGAGGTTGCTGTGAGCTAGGCTGATGCCATGGCACTCACTCTTGCCTTGGCAACAAAGTGAGACTCTGTCTCAAAAAAAGAAAAGAAAAGAAAAGGAAAAGAAAGAACCTCACCTGCCGGGGTGCGAGAGGAGGGGGAAAGTCTTGGGTGGAAATCTTGACAATTCCTGCCCTAGAGGATTTAATAATTGTCATGGGCAGTGACTTCTGGGGTTTCACAATCTCTGTTTTTGGGTTTTTTTTTCTTTTCTTCTTTTCTCTCCTCCCCCTCCATATCAATAGAGATGGGTTAAAATGATGTTTAAAAAAAAGAAAACCCTGACTTCCATTGCAGAACAACATATTTTGTGGTGACCACTTCATGATTCCTCCAAGGAGAGGAGAAATGGTGGTCCAGGACCTGGTGATGCAGAGGGGATGGCTTTACCTTTGGCATCAATTATAGGCTGGGACATTACAGCTTTTTGTCGGAAGAAGGGCAGGTGGAGTGCACCTCTATCGCAGTACAAGTTATCCATACTCTCCCATATTGTTCTTGACAAATCAGATGCCTCCTGACCAGATGTGCAACTTTCATTCTTATGTATTGTTGGGAAGTGCCCCGCTGCTCCTGACCCTGCTGTTCAAGCATCGCACACCTCCACTCTCAATGAAAAACTTAGGGAGCCTCCGAGAAGAGGTGGATTGTCTACCGTTCCTCAAGCGGCTCTCTTTCATTCCAGGTGCTCCTCACTAGGATAGATGTTGACAGTGGCTGGCTACAGTAAATGCAGAGATTATACTACAAAGAATACAGTTGTCTGTGGTTTTAAGTTTAGCACCATAGCGGCTGCCATGATAATCTTCTCATAAATGGGTCCTGTAATAGGCCACACACATCTCAAATCCTGGGAGCACCAATAATGTGTCTCCCAGTGACAGTCCTTGAATGTCCTCAGTTTTTTTCATTGCAAACGCAGCCTGAATGCTGACTGGAGAAGTTTTATTGGTAGCCTCTTTCTGACATAAAAATATGCTGTGTGACGTTCCAGAGTGGCTACAGATGTGGTGTATTTGCAATTGTTCTGGACTTTCCTACTCTGGAGAGCAATATAGATAGCCTTAGGGAGGGGCAGAACCTTTTCCCATCCCATCTTCTCCAAATGGGAGACAAATATAATTAATGTATAAAATCTGGTGGGCCTGTATGTCCATATGTGCTCCAGAGCCCTGAACATGTAGCATGGTTGTCACTCCTTATTCAGTCTGGGGAAAATACATGGTGTCCTGTGATTACTCTGTTCAATGATTTAGTTTTACCCAAAATCTTGGGACTAATAGCCCCTGCATATCTCCATCCACAGTCCATATGGCACCAAGTTGGGAAACTAAACATCTCAGCATCATCCGTGTAGAAGATAATGCAGTCCGAACAGACTCATGGGAGAAGCCTGCTGGATGTCTTCACAAAACACCATCCTTAGGTTCCTTCCTAGAAACTTCTTTTCACAGTCTGTGGATTGCACCACCTAAGGAATAAAAATGTTGTATTTTCAGTAGGTTGATAATTCCTGCTGAGGAATTGCTGAGGGCAACTCTGAGTTTACCAGACATCACCTGAGGAATACATGCCCACAGATCAGAAAAGGGGGCATCATACACTTCTCCCACTGTGTTTTCATCCAAAGCATTGCTGTGCCTTAAAAGGGAGTGTGTGCTCCTCGCCCTACTCAAGTACAAGGCCCTTGGCCCTATGTATATATTAGGGGTTCCTCACAGAACCACTGTTGTGGTTCTGTGAGGAACACATCTATATTGTCCTATTCTCGGTTAAGTACTTGTACCATTAGGAACTTGAAGCCATTCCTTTACCCAGCTGGAGCAAGTGCTTCTACAGAACATGTCCTGATGTTAGGAGTAGAGGATTTGGTTTTTGCTTTTTTTAGTGCAAAAGCCACAATTTGTCCCTATGCACTAGAGGTTTTCATTAATGTGTCTTTTGAAGCACTCTGGAAGAAGGGCAACTTCTTGAAAGAAGCTGTCTCCAAACATCAGTCAGTATTCAATAACTTGTCACTTACCAGAGAGGGGGCTGTACCGTGATACTTAAATCAATTACTCTGGTGTGATAGAAACTAATAACACTCAGCTAAAAATATCCTATGATATTTTTAATCAAAATGATTAAGGAACAGGCAAAGGAAACAAATGGTGCCTGCTGCAATGTTTCCTCATCTCCCATGGGCAAATCGATGAAGCACATAGCCAAGAATTACAATGGGCAACAACAAAGAGTGATTCAATGGCTACTTTCAGTTGAGGGTCAGGGATGGCCTATCTTAGTTGGTGACCTCTTAACTGAGACCCTAATCGGCAGGAGTGAGCCACACTGAGATGAAACAGAAGGGCATTGCAGGCAGAGGCAGAGCTAGTACAAAGGCTCTACAACAGATAGGTTCTGCAGAAGAATATGCCCAGAAAAAAGAATATTTATATTCCAGAAAGGGACAGCAGCAGTTACATCTTTGCCCTCAGTGTGGCTTCCTTGCCATCCAGTTCCCAAGGCCAGCTCAGGGCCTGAGGACTTTTGAGCATCACCATGGCAGTGGAGAAGGCATCAGAAGGGAGGAGCCCCAAACTTATCCAGGCTCAGCATTTTGTATCTTCAAACCTGCGAAGTCATGTCATGGGTGCCTCCACCTTAGTTGCAACTGTACCTGGAATCCACCCTGAGGTATGAATTCCACATCTCCTGCATCCAAACTCCAAATTGCAGGTCCCAAATTTTATGACTATGGCCCATCCATGCACCCTGTGCTGGATGACTTGTTCACAGCGGTCTCAGAACGCGAGAGTACTGTTACTTAGCACCGCGTACTGCTATTTAACTGTTTCACTAGTATATATGAACCTGAAAGCCTGTCAAGGGAAGAGAGTTGTATCTTTTATCTTTTGTAACCACTGCTTGGTGAAGGTGTATTGGGGACGTGCAATAAAAACCTGTTGAGTAGTTTAAACCATTTCGCTTCTATCCAGATTTGTGCGGAGAGCGCCGGTAGGTAAAATGTGTGCAGACTGATAAGTCATAGCTTTTATTCTCCAGGCTGCATTAATGTCCATGACGTGCTCTTAGCTCTCCGGACAAAGAGGGGAATACTTGGCAAGTCCCTCAAGTGGGGCTCCAAAGACCGAAGCGAGATGCAGCCTTTTACAGTAGCTGGTCCTTGCCCTTTTGGCATCTTGGTACTTGTAGTTTTGTCCACTATATCTTTACCCGAAAAGCGAGCGCTGAGACCACAACTCCCATCACCCCGCGAGAACCCGAGCCTTCAGAGCGCATCCTCCGGAGGGGGCGCCGGCGCCATTGACCAACCTGCTGGTCCAGGGCCCGCCTTCCTGAGCCCCGGAGCGCCCGCGATTGGTCGGCCGCCCCGCCTCTCATCGCAGGGGGCGCCAGGTGAATGAAAGGGGGGCGTGTCGGTGCGCGTAGCTCGTCGGCGGCGCGGCTGGAACCCGCTGGAAGGTGAGAGCTGAGACGCGGGTTCGCGCTGCCGCTTCTTAGGCTTGGGGAGAATTCGGGGCACCCCGGGAGGCGGCCCGGGACGTGGGTAGCTGGCAGGGGTGCCTCCTTTCTGCAGTCCTCCTTTGGAGCGCTCGGCCCTGGCAACTCCCGGGACCCCCGCCGCGCAAACCCGGCGCTGACCGACCTCTCCCTCCCCTCCGGCGTGGGCGGGGCGGGGGCGGCGGCAGGCCCCCACCCTTCCTGGCCCTGGGCCGCCGCGGCGCCGTCCAGCCGGCGATGGGGCTCCGGCTCATTCCGACGGGCGGGTGGTGCCCAGGCGCGAGGGCTCGGCCAGGCTGGGGCAGTGCCCGCCGCAGCGACGGTCACTTTGTCCACGGGAGGCCGCGGGAGGGGCCGTGCCGGGGGCCACCCTCGAGGGCCCGGGCCGTGCCCAGTAGCTGGTTCCTGTGACCTCCGCAGGCCGTCTGGCTCTGGGAGGGGGAGGGTCCCCTGCCTTGCGAGTAATTTATCGGGTGAACCAAAGACGCAGTTGACCCTGACATTCTTCCGTGGAAGTGGAAACTCTTCTCCAGGGTTTTTCTTCTCCGGTCAACGCGTCTGAGAAAGGTCTTTCCCCATTTGGCGCGCGGCGTCGTGGAGTGTTTGGGGAGGCCGGTTGGCATAGTGGTTAAGGATGGCAACCTGGGAATCAATAGGAGCTCGGTTCCTGTCCTAGCTTGGGCTTATCTTTATCTTTGAACCTCAGTTTCCTCCTCTGAAAAGGAAGATGTGATGACGGTGTCTGCTGCACCGCGTTGATGTGAGGGGACACTCACGTGCTTGTGGAGAACTCTGTGCAGTGCTTCCCAAGCAGGAGCGCTCAGTGAATGATAGCAATCGAAGAGCAGGTTTTTATTATTCTCACGTTGGTGGGACTGAGGAGTCTTGTAAGAAAGACGGAATGGGATGGAATTCAAGGCTGCTTTGGGGCCCTGAGCAGGAAGGACAGCTGTGTGATTTGCTGGGAGTCTCTCAAGAGTACATGGGAGTTTGTATCGCAGGTGGCGGTGTTGGCATCTGCCGTCTGCTGGAGGACACACTCTATGCTTGGTTCCTTTGTCTATTCCTGGCATCTTCCTGTGGCAGGCATTGTATGTAGACAGCGGTCCCCAACCTTTTTGGCGCCAGGGACTGATTTCATGGAAGACAGTTTTTCCACGGGCTTGGCCGGGGCATGTGGAGAGTGAGGGGAAGGTGGGGGGAAGGCGGTGATGTGAGTGATGGGGAGCAGCTGTAAATACAGATGAAGCTTTGCTCGCTCGTCCTGCTGCTCACTTCCCGCTGTGCCCCTACTTCCTAAATTTCATGGAAGACAATTTTTCCACGAGATGGGAGTTGGTGGGGATGGGGTTGGCAAAGCTCTGTGGCCGGGTCTCTAACAACCCCCACAGATGGGAGTTGGGGACCTGGGGACCACAGATAGCAAGTAACTGTAAACTGGATTGGAACTGAGGGAAGGTTGGGATGGTCCCTGCCAGAGTGTGGATAAGAGCAGTCTAGTACAACCTCTGTGGAAAGTAATATGGAGATACCTCAAAGAGCTAAAAGTAGAACTACCATTTGATCCAGCAATCTCATTTCTGGGCATCTACCCAAAGGAAAAAAAGACATTCTATAAAAAAGACATCTGCACTAGAATGTTTATAGCAGCACAATTCACAATTGCAAAGATGTGGAAACAACCCAAGTGCCCATCAATACATGAGTGGATTAATGAAATGTGGTGTATGTATCCCATGGAGTTCTACTCAGCCACAAAAAACGATGGTGATCTAGCACCTCTTGTATTATCCTGGATAGAGCTGGAGCCCATTCTACTAAGTGAGGTATCACAAGAATGGAAAAGCAAGCCCACATGTACTAATATCTAATTGGTATTACCTGATCAACACTTATGCACACATATAGTGGTAACATTCATCGGGTGTCAGGGAGGGGGGAGGAGGGAATGGGTATATTCACACCTAATGAGTGCAGTGTATACCATCCGGAGGATGGACGTGGACACACTTGAAGCTCTGACTTGGGTGGGGCAAAGAATACATGTAACCTAAACATTTGTACCCCAGTAATATGCTGGAAAAACAAAAGTGGTCTACCCTAAGAGCTGCTTTTCTGGGAGAAGTGGTGATCTTTAGCATGTCCTAGGATCCAAGGCTTGAAGGCAAGTTGAGGTTGATATGAATAAATACTTAAATGCTTCAAATATTCATACTAAATACTCATACCAAGTGCACGACTTGCGGGAACAGGTTTTTTTTTTTTTTTTTTTTTTGAGACAGAGTCTCGCTTTGTGTGTCCAGCGCATAGCAGTGCAGTGCCGTGGCTCAGCCTCAGCTCTCAGCAACCTCAACTCCTGGGCCTCGAGTGATCCTTCTGCCTCAGCTTCCCGAGTAGGCTGGGTCACTTACAGGCATGCGCCCATGCCCGTAATTTATTCTATATATATATCAGTTGGCAATTAATTCTTTCTATTTATAGTAGAGATGGGTCTCGCTCTGCTCAGGCTGGTTTTGAACTCCTGACCTTGAGCAATCTGCCCGCCTCGGCCTCCCAGAGAGCTAGGATTACAGGCGTGAGCCACCGCGCCCGGCCATTGGGGAAAGTTTTGAAGAAGGTTTATGAGTAGACTTTCAAAAAGTCGGGAAGTATTTGCATGAACCAATTGAATCAAGAATATTTGTAGTGAGAAAGCCAAAAGCAATGGGTTTTAGATACTATTGCTAGAAAGGAGCATCTTCCAGTGAAAGATAGCGGTACCCTGGGAAGAGGCCCTGACATCAGACCATTGTACAAGTTAAGAAGTGTTGTGCATACTTGCATATTTATCTACCTGGTTTGCTAACTCCTTAGCCTTCTGTCCAACTTACTTTTTTTTTCTTAGTTAAAAAAGAAAGAAAAAAGTAGTACATACACCTAGTAAAACATTGCAACTATACAGAAAGGTTTAAAATGAGAGGTGAAGGTCCCTCCATACACTTCCTACCCATAGTCCCTATCCCCAAAGGGGTCTGCCGTTAACCCTTAAACAACCTTCCAGGAAAAAATTCATATATATACCAGCAAAAGCATATACACATGGGATCATACCATACATTTTGTTTTGTATTTTGCTTTTTTCTCTCTTAATATATCCTGGTGCCCTCTTCACATGAACAAAAACAATTCTATGTGGTTGCATAGTATTCCACTGTGTGATTATATCATAATATCATTGATTTAACTTGTCCCTATTGATGAATATTCAAATTGTTTCTACTTTTGCACTAGTAAAAAAAACCTAGTGCAAAAGACATCTCTGAACTTATAATTTGATGTATTCTGGGGAAAATATTCAAAAGAGTACATGTATAGCAATGAATTGCTGGGGCAAAAGGTGTGTACATTTAAAGTCTTTTTTTTTTATTTTTGAGACAGTGTCTTGGGCTGTTTCCTAGGCTAGAGCGCAGTGGTGTCATCATAGCTCATTGCAGCCTCAAACTCCTGGCCTCAAGTGATCCTCCGGCCTTGGCCTCCTAAAGTGCTAGGATTATAGGCGTTAGCTACCATGCCTGGCTACATTTAAAGTCTTGATAAATATTGCCAAATTCTCTTCTAATATGGAGTTCCAAGTTACATTCCCGCTAATGCTGGATGTTATAACATTCAAAAATGTGATTTTACCAATTTGACAGCTTTTTTTTCAATTCTGAGAAAGAATAAAGTATAGTATTTAAGAGTAATTTTTTTTTATATCTTGTATTTCCCTTAATATTTTGGTTGTCAAAGGCAGTAGGAGACACTGCTCAGAAAACTTGGCTGGAGCAGTGGGAAGAGGGGAGAGTGACAGTGGAAACTTTAGTCCTGTGAAAACTTTCAGGGTTGATTTATTTGGGAATAGTAGAATTTTTCAGATACCTGACAGTTCTCTTCATTTTTGAACCAAAATGTTAAATTTAACTACTTTGGATGAAAAATTTCCTAAAATTATGACATAATTTCCTTGAATTTAAAATGAATATAAAAAGATAGGCATCTTCTCGATGCCCTAAGCCCATCAGTTATAGCCCTGGGCTATAATTTAGTGATGTCCTTAGGCCATTTTGAATATGTAGCAGCTAAATGGCCTCTGGCTGATATTTTGAAAAAATTCTTAGGTCTACTTTTTATAACTTTTGGACGTTTTCCTAGCTGTCAGTTCTCACTTTGTCAGTTTACTATATTTGCTTAGGCTTCTCTCTACTTTGCTCCCTAATTGGTTCTCTAGTCTCTAAATGTACTCTATCACTTGTTATAAATATGTATAAAGTACATACAGATGTAAATTGCCATAATTTACATAGGTGTAAATTGCCACTTATTAAGGTTGTGGTGGGTGTTTCATGAGTAAAGTCTGTGCAGTTAATGCATGGGCCTTGGGGAATCCATTTTGCCATGGGACCCTTTTAGGGGGAAAGGGTGCCTGATTTCTAGCTGGGCAAGGTATTGGTGTGCTCCATTTGTGGAAAGGCCCCTCTAAGGAGGGCTTTTGTGACCTTTTGTGATTCCAGTAGAGGGAGCTAATGTACTTGGTTGTAGGAACTTCTCTGAGATGAGTACGGGGTAGCAGTTGATGGATGCCTCTGTGGTTTATGTGATGAGAGAAAATGGATGGGAGAGCTTGAGGAAGAGGTCAGCATCCTCTTCCTCACTAACAAGTGGATTTTACACTTGATTTATACTTGTTCTACTTAGCAGTTAAGAAAGGAGTATTCTAGGCCCGGTGTGGTGACTCAGGCCTGAAATCCTAGAACTCTGGGAGGCAGAGGTGGGAGGATCGCTTGAGCTCAGAAGTTCAAGACCAATGTGGGCTTCATAACCAGACCCTGTCTCTGCCACAGATAGGGAAAAAAAAAAAAAAAAAAAGATTAGCTGGGTGTAGTCCCAGCTACTTGGGAAGCTGAGGCAGGAGGATCCCTTGAGCCCAAGAGTTTGAGGTTGCAGTGAGCCATAATGATGCCACTCCACTCTAGCCAGGGTGACAGAACTCTGTCTCAAACAAACAAACAAAAAACAGAAAGAAAGAAAGAAAGAAAGCCAGCCAGCCCGCCCACCCGCCTGCCCAACTCAGACCAGCTAAATCAAAAAGGGACTTAATTGAATTCTGGCACAGCTTGAGTTGAGGCTCAGCTGGTGTCCCCAGGCTCCATCAGCCTGAGCTGGGCTGTGGTCTTGGTCAGGCTGGTTCTCCTGGTGGTGTGGCAGCAGCATCCCTCACATCCCACAAGCCCACAGAGCAGAGAATGCTGGGGGGTTCTTTTGAAACCCCAGCAGATGTTTCATTGCTTTTCACTGGCTCTGACCAGGCCACATTGCCATCTCTGAGCCAATCACTGTGGTCAGAGGCTGGGATACGTTGGTTGTTATTAGCCTACATTATTACATCGTATGCCCCTGGAGCCTGGGGATAGTGCCTGCTTTATGCAAAGCATGGTGGCCAAGAATAGGGGAAGGATGGTTCTACCAAAGGCAAAAAGAGTAGTAGAACTGCAAGAATGGAGAATGCATGCTAGCTAGCCTAAGAATCCACCAAATGTTTCTACAAAGTGATGATAAAGGGAGCGAGTTGAGCCTGGCATGGTGGCTCATGCTTGTAGTCCCAGCTACTTGGAGGACTGAGGCAGGAGGATCATTTGAGACCAGGAGTTCAAGACTAACCTGGGCAATATAACAAGACCTTGTCTTAAAATAAATAAGTAAATAATAAACATAAAAGGAGTGAACTGAGACTGTATTGGCCAGTCTTAAAGTTCAAGATTGGTACACTGGAGATTAAACTATAATTCTTAGATTTCTATATTTTGAGCCTTGATGAAAGTAGAATGTAGTATATATAAGAGCACCGACCCCTGGAGGCCAGCAGACCCAGATTTGAGTCCAAGCTCTGTTACAGCTGGATCATCTCCTGCCTTCAATTTCCTTAGCAGAAAAGTAGGGACAATATTAGTATTAACTCATAGCGTTTTTATAAAAATTCATTGAAAGAGATTGGGTGCAGTGGCTTATACCTGTAATCTCAGAACTTTGGGAGGCCAAGGCAGGAGGTTTGCTTGAGGCCAAGAGTTAGAGACCAGCCTGGGCAACATAGTGAGAGCCTATCTCTACAAAATAAAACAAACTTAGCCAGGTGTGGTGATGGGCACCTGTAGTCCTAGCTACTCAAGAGTCTGAGGCAGGAGGATCACTTGAGTCCAGGAGTTCCAGGTTACAGTGAGCTATGATTGTACCACTGTACTCTAGCCTAGAAGACAGAGCAAAGCTCTGTTTCTAAAAATAAAAAATAAAATAAATTAATTGAAAGAATCTACAAAAAAAAAAAAAAAAAACCCACTAAGTATTGTGCCCACATGTAGTTAGCTATAGTTATTTTTGGCTATTTTTCATAAATTAACCCAGTTTGATAACCTCTGATTTTTGTTAGATCTAAAACAGCCCGTATCATAAAGACACTATTGAACCAGTGGTATTGGAAGAATTTTTTTTTAAATTAAAAATGAACATCTTTATTTGTAAGATTGGGATTTGTGAATTAACTTAAGAAAAATCTTGGCAGCGATACAGGCTACTCCAGAGCGGCAGCAGCTGGCGGAGCAATGGAGATGCAATCCTATTATGCCAAGCTCTTGGGGGAGTTGAATGAACAGCGGAAGAGGGACTTCTTCTGTGACTGCAGCATCATTGTGGAAGGGCGGATCTTCAAGGCCCACAGGAACATTTTATTTGCTAACAGCGGCTACTTCCGAGCTCTGCTCATTCACTATATCCAGGACAGTGGGCGGCATAGCACCGCCTCCTTGGACATTGTCACCTCCGATGCCTTCTCCGTCATCTTAGATTTCTTGTATTCTGGGAAGTTGGATTTGTGTGGGGAGAACGTGATTGAAGTAATGTCGGCTGCCAGCTACCTGCAGATGAATGACGTGGTGAACTTCTGCAAGACATACATCAGGTCGTCCCTTGATATTTGCAGAAAGATGGAGAAGGAGGCTGCCGTGGCTGCAGCGGTGGCGGCGGCGGCGGCGGCGGCAGCAGCAGCAGCAGCAGCAGTTCATCAGGTTGACAGTGGAAGCCCCAGTTCGAGCAGGGAGGGGACCTCCTGTGGTACCAAGAGCTTGGTCTCCTCTCCAGTGGAGAGAGAAGAGAGTGTGGACTGCCCAAGAGAGTCCCCTTGCGGTGACTGCGCAGATGGCCACCCCTTGGAACTGGTGGTGAGAGACAGCCAGGGCGGTGGCTCAGTGGACAGTGACCTCTCTACTCTGTCCAAACGGATAGAGCCCAAGGTGGAATTTGATGCTGACGAGGTGGAGGTGGAAGTCGGTGAACCACTGCGGCATTACGCTGCCCCGCTGAGCCTGGCCCGGGGGGAGGAGGGCTCGCCTGGCGGGCAGGTGGTTGACTTGGCTTACAGTAACTACCACGTGAAGCAGTTCCTGGAGGCACTCTTGCGCAACAGTGCTGTCCAGAGCAAAGACGATGTGGACCATCATTTTTCTCGGAGTCTGGAGGGAAGACCGGAGGGTGCAGGAGTGGCCATGGGTTCCATGATGGATGTTCAGACGGACTGGTATGGGGAGGACTCAGGTGAGCTCCATTAGCATTCATCATCTCTGGTGGCCACGTACCACACACCGTCTGTGCCCTGCATTCTCCCGTCGTCATGATCACATCACTATCATCATTGTCCTTGTCACTGCCATCATCACTGCCATCTTTGCCACCACCACCACCACCACTAATAGGCATTGATCGAGTACCTGCTGCATGCAGGGCATTGTTTCTTCATGCATGTTCATGTTTTACCTTTACAACTAGACTATAAGCATGTTGAGTGCAGTTTGGAGACATGGAAAGAACATGCCCTCTTCCACTAACCGGCAGTGGGACCTTGGTGAGATCATGCAATCTCTTTGAGCCTATTTTGTCACCTGTAAAATGGGGTTAATCATCCCTGCCCTGCCTTTCTCTCAGTTGTTGTGAGGACCGAATGAGAAAGTTTTCAGAGTTGTTTCTCACGTATGATAATGTGTTCTACACACGCAGCAGATTTATACTTCTCTGTATCCGCCACGGTGCTTGGCACATACATAGCAAGCACTTGGTGAGTAGGATATAGTTGTGGATGCTGTCTGCTTGAGAATATTTTACATCTAGCATTTGTTTCATTTAAGTTCATGTCTTATATCCTTCGTAGGCTTTTTTGTTTTAAGAGAACTTGGTTTTTCCTTGAACAATTCTGAGAGACGAGTTAACATAATTAACTCTCTGAATGGGTGAGGTAATTGTGTTGTAAGGTGTCTTGCAGGAGACAGAAATATACTTGGCTGCCACCTTCCTGATGAAAGGTGCCTTCCGGAACCTCAAGCCAAGAAATGAAGGGATCACATTTCTCATTCACCTTTCAGTATTAAGTAGTGAAAGACTTTTAAATAAGTGGAGATCAACTGCTTTTATTGATTATTATATGGCTGCCTTGAAACTTTAATTTTATGTTTGTAAGGCAAGAAAATCCAGTATGTCTGATTAAAACTAGATGGGGCCGGGCGCGGTGGCTCACGCCTGTATCCTAGCACTCTGGGAGGCCGAGGCGGGTGGATTGCTCAAGGTCGGGAGTTCGAAACCAGCCTGAGCCAAGACCCGTTCTACTAAAATAGAAAGAAATTAATGACCAACAAAAGTATATATACAAAAAAAAATTAGCGGCATGGTGGTCATGCCTGTAGTCCCAGCTACTGGGAGGCTGAGGCAGAAGGATCGCTTGAGCCAGGAGTGTGAGGTTGCTGTGAGCTAGGCTGACGCCATGGCACTCACTCTAGCCTGGGCAACAAAAGTGGAGACTGTCTCAAAAAAAAAAAAAAAAAAAAAAAAAATAGACCTGAAAACTTGAAAATGGTCTTTCTGGTCCTCAGAGACACCGGCTTAACCAGCATTGGGAAGAAAGTGGCTGTTTCAGTGAACACACTGTGGGAACTTGTTGAAATTCTCATTTCCGTGTTTATAGCAGCATTTCACAGACTGTGACTGCCTTTCACATCCTTTAGACCCTCATGACGCCCCATGAGTTTGGCAGAGGAAGTTTAGAGAAACTGAGACCCAGAAGGGCTTAGTGAATCTCCTAAGAGCGCAGAACTAGGAAATAAGTGGCCCAGCTAAACTGGTAGCCTGGGCTGGCTTCATTTCACTCATTAAACTGTGAGGGTAGCAGACGTGGTTAGAGGATTTCTGTGCAGTGATTTTGTGTTTGAACCCTTCTGCCTGTGAGCATAAGAAGTAGTATGACATAGTCATTTGGCTCTAAGCCACCTTCATTCGAGTCCAGTCTCTGGGCCTGCAAAGTCAGGTTTCTAACTACAGGGTGCTGTGGCAAGGCCATGCTATTGTCTGCCAGGTTTTGATTTCATTCACACGGCTCCAGGGTAAATGTATTTCAAGGGCCAAGGCATGGCGTAAGATTGATTTATTTGGTTATTCATTTATTTGCTCACGCATTTGAGCACCTTCCTTGTAAAGACATAAAGATAAGTCAGACGTGGATGCAGTCCTCAAAGAACTGGTGGTGTCTTAGAGAGATAAGACGTGTGTAAATGACGTCACAGGGCAGGAGGACACTGGGATTGAAAGACACTCAGAGGTCTGAGTTCACAGTAGTGGGAAAGAAGGAGAACTGGCCTCCTCCTGGGAGATCAGGGAGGCTTCATGAAAGTGGCATCTGAGGGTAAGAAGAGGAGACAGAAATTAATCAGAGTCAGGTCGTAGAAAATCTTAAATGCTAAAAGGTGAGTTTTATCTGCAGGCATGGGGGCATTTTTGGTAGTTGTTGAGCTTGGGAATGGACAGGGTTTGTGCTTCAGGGAGATTAATTTGGCCTCAGCACAAGATGGTGTGGAGATGGGAGACCTGTCAGAAGGCTGCCGCAATGGTTTTGTGTTACCATAGCTCATGCTTGACGTTAGCAGACGCTGTCAAAGCACCAGGTCCTCCTGTCTCTGTCCTCCCCCAGGCTCCTTGACCCCAGCTCCAGCACCTTCTCCTGTTCTTGGAAGGTTCAGTTTTGACTCCACTGGTTTAGTTTCTACTGTCTTCTCAGCCCACTGCCGTCCGGCTTCCACACCACTGAAACCACTCTCGTGAGCTCAGCTATACATTTCTAGAGCTGATCCAGTGAGTGATTTTTGGGTGTTATCTCACCTGACCTCTCTCAGCAGTTGACTCTGATCTCTCTCTCCTCTCTTTGAAATTCTTCCCTTCCCTGGCATTTGACATCATGCATGCCATTTGCTCTTCCTCTGCCCATCCCTTTTCAGCTTCATCATGGGGTCATTGAATGTCAGTGTATCCAGCATGCCATCACTGGCTTGCTGCTTTGACATCTCATCATTCCTGTTTGTTCGTTGCGCCATTCATTCATTTATTTAACAGGCATTTATTGAACACTCAACATATGTCGGGCACTGTTAACCACAGGGAACAAAAGACAGTCCATGCCCTTGTGGAGCTGACATTCTAGTATAAGTAGACAGACAGTAAACAAATAAGTAAATATATAGAATGTCAGATGGTGATAAGTCTTACAGATGAAAAACTAGAGCAGGGAAAGAGTGATAGAAGGTTAAGGGAATGCTATTTTAGTTTGTGTTGACAGGGAAGACATTTCCAGCAGGTTGCCTTTGAGCAGAAACCTCAAGAAGAGAAGATGGCTGGGCGCGGTGGCTCACGCCTGTAATCCTAGCTCTCTGGGAGGCGGAGGCGGGTGGATTGCTCAAGGTCAGGAGTTCGAACCAGCCTGAGCAAGAGTGAGACCCCGTCTCTACTATAAATAGAAAAAAATTAATTGGCCAACTAATGTATATAGAAAAATTTACCCGGGCATGGTGGCGCATGCCTGTAGTCCCAGCTACTCAGGAGGCTGAGGCAGGAGGATCGCTTGAGCCCAGGAGTTTGAGGTTGCTTTGAGCTAGGCTGACGCCAAGGCACTCACTCTAGCCTGGGCAACAAAGTGAGACTCTGTCTCAAAAAAAAAAAGAGAGAGAGAGAGAGAGAGCAAACTGTACAGGTACAGGTACCAGGGAGAACATTCCAGGCGGAGGGAGGAGCAAAGCTCATACTTTGTGAATGAACAGAAGGGACAGTGAGGCTGCTGGCGTGGCTGCAGTGGGGGGATGAGATCCGATAGGGTGGGTGGGGTCAGGCCGGGTGGGCCTTGAAGGCCGTGGGGTCTTTCGGTGCTACTTTGAGACGGGAAGCCACTGGAGGGTCTTAGCAGAGAGTGGTTTGAAGCGACTTACATTTAAAGGATCCCTCTGGGTACTGCGTGGAGAATAGACCATAGGGGAGCAAGGGTGGAAGCTGGGGAACACTCGGGGGGGACTGTATGACCCTAGTGAGCACTGTGCTGCCTGAGTCAGTGTGGTCACAGTAGAGAGGTGAGGTGTGGTGGAGTTAGGACTGTGCTAATGGCTTGTATGAACGGCGTGAGAAAAGGGGGAAGCTCGAAGTCTAAGATGAAGGTGCCGGCGGGGTTGGTGTCTGGTGAGGCCTCTCTTCCTCGTTTGCAGACAGCAGTCTTCCCACTGTGTCCTCACACAGCCTTCCTCTGTGCCTGCGCTGGGGGTGAGAGCGGAGGAGAAAGGGAGAGAGACAGAGAGAGATCGTTTGATCTCTGGGTCTTTTTATAAGACCAGTCCTATCATTAGGGCCCTACCCTATGACCTCATTTAACCTTAATTACCTTCTTTTTTTTTTTGAGACAGAGTCTCACTTTCTTGCCCAGGCTAGAGTGAGTGCCGTGGCGTCAGCCTGGCTCACAGCAACCTCAATCTCCTGGGCTCAGCGATCCTACTGCCTCAGCCTCCCTAGTAGCTGGGACTACAGGCATGCACCATGCCCGGCTAATTTTTTTATATATATTTTTAGTTAGTCAATTAATTTCTTTCTATATTTTGGTAGAGACGGGGTCTTGCTCAGGCTGGTTTTGAACTCCTGACCTCGAGCAATCTGCCCGCCTCGGCCTCCCAGAGTGCTAGGATTACAGGCGTGAGCCACCGCGCCCGGCCAACCTTAATTACCTTCTTAAAGGCCTTATCTCCAAATACAGTCACACTGGGGTTTAGGGCTTCAAGGTATAAATTTGGAGGGGAGACACAAAGAAGTTTGTAACAGAGTCTCACTCAGCATTGTCTTAAATGAAATAAAATAGAATAGACACTATCAGTGAGTATTGTGTTGGGAAGCTTTTCCAGTTATCCCCATGAAGGCGTGTGTGTTCTGAGGTTGCAACGTGATCTGTATTTCTAACGGTGAGTCAGGTGCCCTTCGGCATTCCTTGCAAACTTAGATCCGAAGCTCACTTTACCCTCTCGCGGCTTGGGAGCCAGGCAGTTGGAATGGCAGACAGTGTCTTGCTATTGGCTGGTGGTGGAGTTGGTGTCCTCCTTCTTCGTCTGGGCTGGATCCCATCCATGGGAGTGTGGCTGGGGTTGTCACTGCTGACAGTGCAGCTAAATCCATGTGTTTGATTCCCCAGGTGATGTGCTGGTCGTCCCCATCAAGCTCCACAAGTGTCCTTTCTGCCCTTACACCGCCAAACAGAAGGGCATCCTCAAGCGGCACATCCGCTCGCACACGGGCGAGCGGCCCTACCCCTGTGAGACCTGCGGCAAGAGGTTCACTCGGCAGGAGCACCTGCGGAGCCACGCCCTGAGCGTAAGCGGGCAATGCTCTCCTGGCAAGGGCGGTTCATGATGTTATCTAACATCAGGGTAAAACCAGCCTGTCTTTCACGTCTCTGTCCACTAGGGTATTTTCAGAGAATTTTGAACATACCTTTTTGCTATTAAAGCTGGACTGGTGGCCGGACATGGTGGCTCACGCCTGTAATCCTAGCACTCTGGGAGGCCGAGGCGGGCAGATTGCTCGAGGTCAGGAGTTCAAAACCAGCCTGAGCAAGAGCAAGACCATGTCTCTACTATAAATAGAAAGAAATTAATTGGCCAACTAATATATATAGAAAAAATTAGCTGGGCATGGTGGCGCATGCCTGTAGTCCCAGCTACTCAGGAGGCTGAGGCAGAAGGATCGCTTGAGCCCAGGAGTTTGAGGTTGCTGTGAGCTAGGCTGACGCCATGGCACTCACTCTAGCCTGGGCAACAAAGTGAGACTCTGTCTCAAAAAAAAAAAAAAAGCTGGACCGGTGGTGGTACTTAGAGAAAGTTAAAACTAAACTTACTAGAGAAAGTTAAAACTAACTACAAGTGGTGTGCACCTGTAGTCCCAGCTACTCAGGAGGCTACGGCGGGAAAATTGCTTGAGTCCAGGAATTAGAAGTTACAGTGAGCTGTGATGTGCACTCCAGCCTGGGCAACAGAACAAGACCCCGCCTCAAAAAACAAAACAAAACAAAACAAAACAAAAAAAACACTTACAATGAAACAATAAAAGAACTCAATTAAACATGGGCAATGGATTTGAATGGACATTTCTCCTATGGCCAATAAGCATATGAAAAATGTTCAACATCTTTAGTCATGGGGTAAATGCAAATCAAAGCCACCATGAGATGCCACTTCACACCCACTAGAAACTATTGTTATTCATTGGCCCTTCTCCTTTCTACCTCTAAAAGAGAGGCTCTGATTGGTTCACAGAGCCCTTATTGGCTGGAGTTGCTGAGAAGTGCATATATTAGAAAGATAGTCCTTCTATAGAGGGGACTCCTGGGGCTGTTGCCCTTAGGAAGAACTGTGTAGGGTAGGAGATCGAGTTCTCTTTCCTAGTATGCAAAGCTCTTCTTGTAAGTGAGCAATGCATTTATCAGTGAGAAAGTCAAGAGTGAAGCATCTGCTGGCACATCTGGGGAATACAGATGTCTACTCTAGCAAATCTGCTTTCCTAATTAAACAATCCAAGATGCATTAAAAAATCATGTCAAAAATCCTACTCAGAGCCAGGTGCAGTGGTGTGTACCTGTAGTCCCAGCTCAGAAGGCAGAGGTGGGAGGATCGCTTAAGCCTAGGACTTCTAGTGCAGCCTGAGCAATATAGTGAGACCTTGACTCTTGGGGAAAAAAAAAAAAGAAAGAAAGAAAAGAAAAACATCCTAATTATTTCACTGAGTGCCCTTTATACACCAAGCACCAGAGATACAGTAATAAATGAGACAGACTCCATCCCTGTTCTCTTGGAGACTTACAGTCTAGTGAATTTTGCCAATGATTCGTGAGAAGCAGCACAAAGGAAGAAGTATAGGTGAGAGTAGATAGCTGGGAGACCTGCCTGGCCCAGAGCATCAGGGAGGACTGCCTTCAAGGTGTTAGTAAGGGGTAAAGGGTTGGTGAAAGGGAGGAGGGGATGTTCCATGCATGCCCAATGGCCCTGGGGTGGAAAGGACCTTGGTAAGACAGAGACCACAGCAGAGAAACAAGTGGAAGAAAGGCAAGAAATGAGGCTGGAGGGTCAGGCAGGGGCCAGATCACATGGAGCCTTCTAGACCACGGCTTAACCCCTTTTCTGTGACATTTACCGTGTCCGCTTGTGATAATAGGTCCACAGATCCAGTCGTCCAATCATCTGCAAGGGCTGCAGAAGAACCTTCACGAGCCACCTGTCCCAGGGGCTGCGGCGCTTCGGGCTGTGTGACAGCTGCACCTGCGTCACAGACACGCACGATGACGACGACGACTTGATGCCCATCAACCTCAGCCTGGTGGAGGCTTCGTCCGAGAGCCAAGAAAAGAGTGACACAGACAATGACTGGCCAATCTACGTGGAGTCTGGTGAGGAGAACGACCCTGCCGGAGACGACTCTGATGACAAACCACAAATTCGGCCCACCTTATCAGACTGAGAGACACTTACGTAGCAAAAAACTGGTGGGAGAGAAGTTTCAGAATTTGTTAGTGCTCATTCTGCAGTTGAAAGACACCATGCGTCCAATATCGTGGAACCCTGAGAGGAACATTTTTTCACTGTGGTTATATTTGCATTTTTGTTAGACTACATGGTAGAGGTTGGATCTTGTGATGCAGAGGACTGATAACTTTATTGCAGTGTGGGGGCCTTGCTTTCTGAGGGCTCTGCTGGCCACTCCTTCGTTCTGCGTGAATCATGGCTGGCCCTAAGCCTTCCTGTTTTTTGGCTGTGCATCCAAACTCTGTTTAGGAGAAGATAAATCTTCATACGTATTTTCATGTTGTCCCAATCCTCTGCATTCCTTTGTTAATCATCCTCTTTCTCTGAAAAGGTGGGCGAGACTACATTAAGTTTTGTTATCAGTCTTACCTTTGCCAAGCCTTTCCTACTGAATTCCACATTTTGATTTTTCTGGCAAAGCATGAAAGAGGAAGAAGCTTCATTGACAGAAAGCAGGCAGGGCTGTCTGACTACATGATCGTGAAAGGTACTCTCTAAATCTAAGACTGCAGTGTTAAAGGCTGGGAGTATTGATGTGCAGACAGCATGGAAGTGAGCTGAAAGGCTCATAAGGCATCCTGTCCTGCCCAATTGAATTAAATTTTAAGTTGGCCCCAAGAAGGGAGTCTGAGCCCAGGTCTAGGTGGTTTCCCTGTCTGGTTTGGTATCTGAGGATTCTAAGCACGCAACCTGTTCTGTGATCCTAAAACAAATCATCTGGGCAAAACTAAAAATGCTCCTCTACTTTTTCCAGCCATTTCCAAAAACCATTGCTGTGTAACCAGGAAATGCAGCTGCCCCTGACATTATTTTTATTTTTATTTTTTTTTCTTCCCCCTGCCACCCACCCCCCTGTGACATTCTTTTAATTAGTTTATGCCTAGAACTTTAACTGGAGGGCAAATGTGAGCCCATATATATAAGTTCTATTTCTAAAACATTCATCTTTTGAAAGATCCTCTTGAGGGAGAGGGAAGGATAGTAGAAAAACAGGTTTCTAAAAGCCATCTGCTTTTCACCCACTTTGCAGCCATACAATTATTCTAACAAAATAGACTGAACTCTTTAAAAGGGCTAAAGGGCAGGAAATAATAGAAATTAGGGATTATAACTGAAGGCATTTCATAATTTTGTCTTATGTTAAAGTATCCAAAATAGACTTAAAAATCTGCTTGTCTTCCTTTAATGGTTGCATCATTGTTCTTGAAAAGGTGGTAAAATCACTTTTCTTTCTGCCTCTTGAACAAAAATACAATCAAAACCATTATAAATTGGGTTGCAAAAGTCATTGAACAGTCAGAAAGTTCTTTAAATTGGACTTCTTAATAGTAATTAGAGCAACGAGACAGGGCTACTCAAACCGTGCCCACAGGTAGGTGCTGCTCTGTGAATTATTTGCAACAGGTCTGTGACAAGGAAAGTCAGAAATTAAGAGTAAGCATACAGAAACTTTTATAACACTTTGACATTGCTGTGGCACCCAAGCATGTGATCAGTGGCATTGTCTTCTTGAACAGGGCATGAACTGGTGCAGGCGTGGTCAGCTGGAGAGCTCCACAGCACAGAGGTTGGATCCAGTCTGTACAGGAGGACCATGCATTGGTCTGCCATAGATTGGAAATTTTAAAACTGGTCTTTTACCTTAGGTAGTTTGAGAAACATTGTTCTAGATCGAGAGTTACACATTGAAAATTATCAGGGACCAGAGACATTTTTTAAAATCTGAAATGAAAATATTGGCTGTTTTTAAATGAAATCTTTTAAATGAAATATTTTAAAAGAGTGAACTCAGCAAAAAGGAAACCTAAATGGATGTGTAGATTTACTTTGCAAGGAGCAGTTTTTGATATTTTTGCTCTCTCTGTTTAATTTCTGATGTTTTAATATGACTTTTCTACCTCATGGTTCAACCTCTCTGCCTACTTTTCTCCGGTGGAGCTATGTGGTTCTCTTCAGTGACTTTGTGACCTATTCGTATAACTGGGTAAATAATTTTATATTAGAGATTTCATGGTGAGACAGTGATTCTCAACTGAGAGTCAGCGGGGCACAGTGGCACATTCCTGTTGTCCCAGCTACTTGGGAGGCAGAGGCAGGAGGATCGCTTGAGTCCAGGTGTTCAAGACCAACCTGGGCAACATAGCTAGATCCTGTCTCAAATAAAACATTTTTCTTAAAAAACCTAAAAGCGTATCAGGAGATGATTTTGCCCCCTGTAGGTTGCTACTGACATCTAGTGGGTAGAGGCCAGGGAAGCTGCTAACCATCCTACAATGTCTAGGACAGGCCTCACAATAAAGAATTATCTAGTTCAGAATGTCAACAGTACCAAGATTGAAAACCCTGCTATAAGATAAAGTAGAATTTTAAAAAATCTACCTTTAATAAATGGACCTAATTTTGTGTTCTACTTTAGACTACCTTTACCTTCGTAATATTTAATAGGCCCTTATGCTCCCACAAGTCTTGGAAAATAGTAGATTAGTAAAATGAGGAGCTGAGGCCAGATGGTTTACAGCTTGCCCAAAATCCAATTTAGTTTTATGATGTAGAAACTTAGAAAATTCTGACTCATCCATACACCCAGAACCATTCCTAGGCTGATCATTTTGTTAAATTTTATTTTATCTTTTCCCTCTCCTCTCTGCATTTTGTTAAATTTTAAAGTAGCAGAATCATTGGGAGGAGAACGGAATGTGTAGCTGAATATTTAAGTGATTCTCTTTCTTCCATAATGTCTCAGATTGTCGCATTCCCAGCTGACTGTTTGGGCTTTGTGTATTGGCACTGGTTGTCCCCGGCTTGCTGAACCCTATCACTTTGAAAGGAGATACTTCCTTTGTCTGCACCATCAGATCACAAACTGGTCCTCTTTTAAATTTATGTTCACATCTGGTGGTGAGTATTTATAATCATGGTGTCTTCGAGGTTTAATTTGTAGAGTTGGTGGTATTTTTATACTAAGTAAATTCACAGTTGAGCCCAACACAGGCCATTAGTGATTTAGTTTATATTCTGGCATCTTTCTGGCACATTCAGTCCAAGTCCACGAAGGGATATTTTTGTCTACCCCATATCCACTGGAATGTCTCATCTTAGACATATTGCATGGATGGAAACAGGACTCTTACTTGTGTAATAATGGAATTCCAAAATGGCATTCTTGGGATGTTGTTTCTCTCGGGGGTTGGGACCCCCTTCTCGAGAGTTGGGGAAGGAATGTAAATAGGGTTAATAACTATAATAATTAAGAAATGACACAGGGCATTATGATTTTTGATCATTTGACAGAAACATGCCGCTCTGATGTAAATATTGTGGTGGCCAGTGGACTTCGAATATTCCTTAAGAAAGCTGCAGATCTAGTGTCTGCAAAATGGTGTGGAATTGAGTAGTCCAGTGGTTCAGAATACTGTGGTGGGTTTTTTGTTATTGTTAATTGATGTTGTGACAAACCCCACAGAGAGAAAGGCCACAGGGAGGGCTGCATGTGCTGGATCTGAGAGCCATTGGGGCAGAGTGGAGTGGCCTTGGGTCAGCTGAACTCACTCTGTTTCATTTGGAGCTCTGGGGTTTTCTTGTGTGTCCCTTGTGCATTGAGAATAGAATTTATCTGTGAAGTCTAGTGTAACGGGGTAGGGAGGGATCAAGGGTTGGGGTGGGTGAGAAGTTCCTGCTCCACTCTTTTTTGAGCATCACCACTGTGCTTCCTGTTGGTGTTGGAATCCTGCAGCTGCCTTGTGCTTTCATGTGATCACACTATCTTCTAAAGCAAAAGAGGGGCACTTTATTCAGTTGCATATATGATTTTTGTTGCTTCTATAGTTTTGTCTTTCATTTCAATATTACCATATTCCTCAAACCTTTCCTTGTAGTTCTAGAAATTTGAATTTTTTTTCTCCAAATGATGCATCTGTAGAGATAAATGGAAAGTGTTTTGGGGGGAAGGAGTAGTTTGGTTTCTAGCATGTTTTAAAAGGTGACCGTAGCTTACACCCTCATGTGATCAGAAGATATGGAACCTTCACAACTGAAGGAGGACATTTAGCGTCTGTTTTGACCCTCCAGGTAAATCATTTTGCTACTGCCAATTCTTCATTGACAACTGTGGTTTTGGGGGGCAATTTTTATATCCATCATTTGATATTTGGACCTTTGTCATTAATTTATTAAAAATCAGTGGAGGTTAGGGAGGGGGTTGTGTACTTTGATGAAGAAGGTTTAGTAGTAACGAGATTGGGGATTTTGAGGGAAGGCATCAATTTGATAGACGTGTTGGTGGCACATAATGGATACGGAGTATCTGTCATACAGACAGTGAAGGGTATGATCGGGTTTTTTTAGAAGCAGAAAAACATGTCATGCCAAACTTTTTCACATCTTTTATGGTCCATAGCCCCTGTAGAGCATCTACTACTACCAGAAAAATAAGCAAACAGTACTGCAGTGCCTCCAGGCGGCTACTTAGGCTCAGCTGAAGGTTTAGAAACATTCAAACGTATAAACTGCCACACTTGGCATCAGAAGGGATATAGGTGGGAAGCACAGCTTGCCAGCAGGCCGAGCCAGTTGCTCTTCTGTGGAAGTCCCTGCAGCTGTCTGTGTGGCACAGATCAGGTGCGGAGCTCAGGAGGCAGAGCCGCGTCAGACAAGTATGGGAGCTGCCCTGGCTTAAAAGCTTCTTGTCCCAAGGGAACAAGTATCTCTTACAACAACTCCACAGACCTAGCTTCCAGGGTCCCTAGCAAAGATATACCTGTTCCAAGAGTCACTTAGGGAACCCCAAGACTGTGGCTTCCTATCAGGTATTTATATTAATAGTTCTCCAAGTCCAGATGCAATTTGCCAATTAGGGGTCATTTCTACCATATACGATGTTGCCTAGCAACATAGTTGACATATGACTCATTATTAGGTTGCCAGGGGAACAGAGCTAGAAAGTTAAGGAAAGGTCAAATTCTCACACTGAAGGGGAATGGGCTTTGTTAATCCTTTACTAAACACTATGCTAAGCAGTTGCACAATAGATACTCTCCACCTAATTCTTATAAAATATAGCCAGAAAAATTTCCCCTTAAAACATAGCCAACGCCAACTCAGTGTTCCTCTCCTGAATAGTGTTCTTTGTGCTTAGCTGCATGTGATGAATACACTGTTTGCCCATTTTGCTGAGGTATGTGTAAGAGTTGGATTAGCAGAATGGTCCCATCAAAATATCATGTATCCTTTGGTGCTACTCCTAACACATGGGTATAGCATGTCATACTGTAGGGACATTACTGAATGGAAATTTCTGAGGATTCCGTCAGCCATACTTGGATGGGAAGCCATGTCCACCCAGCAACCACCAAACACAAGGCTCTTGGTAATTAACAGTGCCTGTCATTGCCATGCCCTCTGGTGTTGCTCCTGCCTTCTGCTGCTGCTCCTGGTGGATCAGTAAGTGAGGATAGCTGGTTGTTTATTCAGCAGTTATCCAGCAATTATTTATGGAGTCCCTATTATGTGTCAGGCACTAAGGGTACTTCAGTGAAGCAGCACAATCCCTAGCCTCGAGGAACGTGCAGTGTGTAATCTAGGAGACTAGCAAGTAAGCAGTTATAACACAGTATGTCAGTGTGACAACCGGGTCTGGTACTTGGGTGGAGAACCCAGCCCAGTCTTAGCGCCTCAGGGAATGCTTTCTTGTCTAAGGTACTCTTCCCATCCAGTAAACTCCTAGCTTCAAGATACTATTTATAAGCAATTTAAACAGTTTCTGAAATTTCCTGCCTTTTCCAAACATGATGTTTTCAGACACAAACAGTGTTTAAATTATCTGTTTTATTCACTTATGTAAAAATACTATAAATGTTTTAGAATATCCTAGTCTTTAGAAAATATGCATCAGAGGATATGGTTGTCTTATTTTAAAAAAACTCAACAATATAATATTTACAATTATTACTTTTTAATTAAAAATAAAATTAAAATGACAACAAAAAATAATTTCCCAGAATGTTGACCCGGTGTAGTATGTCAGATGAGGAGGAGCCCCATTGCATCTACACTGGGTCTTGGCTGGCCATGCGAACTAGTTAATACCCCCAAAATCAGCATAAGTGTAGGATAGGACCATTAAATCAAAGGATTTGAGAGCTAGAAGGGACCTTAGAGAAAGTCTGCTCCAATTCTATTTTACAGAGATGAAGAGGCTAGTTCCTATCAGAAACTAGGTCTTGGCAGGCCAATGTTGATAACAAACAAACATGTTTGGACAGGCAATAAAGACCATTCATAGACAGCATTTGTTTCCTTGGGTTCTCACCAGACCAAAGCCACAGAAGAGGAAAATGCTGTTTTGGTCTCATATGATAAAGAAGTGTGCTTGCGTGGTTATGCCTGCATTCTTATAGTGCTTAGACAGGGAGGGGGAAATCGCACATTGAGCACAGGGGAGTTGATTTAATTTCTTGGGCCTATAATACCCATACATATATGAAACAACGTAAACCACCATCAAATATATACACATGCAAAGCAAATCAAAATTTTCATTGTCCACTTATTTAATATGTATCATGTATTTGATTTTAATGTATCCATTTTATTAAAATTTTCGAAAGTAAAAAATATACATTATCTTGAAATTACTTTATCCAATCTCTCTGATTTTTGAAATATAAATTGGGCATGATTCAGGGAGTATAACAAGGACAATCTTATTTGAAACAGAAAGCAACCACATATTTTTAATTCAGCAGCCCATATAATACTATGGTATTGAGTAAAAATGTATTTTGGGTATTTCTTGACTCAGTGGATCTTAATCTACTGGGAAAGCTAGTTTTATTTAAAGATCTGCAATAATAGTAATACATAACAGCTATTAATAAAACAGATTAGCCACTTTACAATCTAAAAATACCAAGAAGCAATGTTCCTGGTTTTTAATGAAATATTTATCAAGTTTGGAATTAAAATTCATATAGGGCCATCAAAAATGCAAATCATCTTTAACTTGGTTAAATCTACCTGGAGGTAAACAGGAAATAGTCTCAAGCTAAATTTTTGTTTTGATTTATACAAAGTCAGATTGAGACAGCCTACTGACAAGTTTAGAATAGGAATGGCCTCAGCTGGGTTCAAGAAAATGTCTTTTGTTCTTTTGGTGTTCAGAAACAAATACAATTTAACTATTTTCTAGTACCTTCCTGAATTTGAAACTGACCTGAATTACATAACTGCAAATTTTAGAATGGCTAAGGTCAAAATGGTTAAAACAGTTTCTTTAGAATGAATGAAATAGGGAATTAAGGATTTGATCTTCTCACATGAAGGAGTTAATAATCCTTCATAATTTTAGTTAACTGTTTTTCTCAGGGCAATTATTTTACATGAAATTCTAATGAAGAATTTTAGGAGAAGACTTTAGTAAAGGAAAAAAGAACCCCCCCCCCCCCAAATACAGAGAACTATTAAATAGAGCTCTAAACAGAAGCTTCCATCAGACTTCTTTTCCCACCTCTTTGTCCCACGGTGTTAGGACCAACCATTTCTTTATATGAGACAGTTTCTGGGAAGAGAGTCCTAAGCCAGGACATTTTAGATTTTGTGAAAGAAGACTGACCACTGCTTGGTGAATGGGTAATTTGGGCTGCAATATAAGAAAAAGGTAAGGCAGACAACACAAAAATCACAGGAGGCACAACCATTCTAAGCTCTGAGCTCTACAGTCACTCACTTTCCAACAACTCTTAGAAGAAAAATAGAAACTGACTTTATCTTTGACTGCCAAGTTTCCAAGTGGATTAGTTCATTTTACAGAGGCACTTGTCAAACTGCTATTTAAAAAAAGAGAAGCCAAAGTTGGAAATCATCTTGACCATAAAAACAATGAGCAACTGATACCTTTTTTAAGAAGTGGGAAACTTTTCTGCTTTTTGGAACTGAATTGTTTTTTGTGTTAAAGTGCTTATGTACCAGGTCTGTTTATATGGGTCAATGGTGTCCAGGCTATGTGTTGTTTTGCTGTTTTTACTTTTTTATATATAAAAAACTAAAATCAAGAGAGAATAAATTAGTGAATATAAGTTATATCTCTAAATCTGACTTCTCATTTCTGTTGTCTTGGCTTCCCATTTTTTAATATAAATCTTTAAAACATATGTGCATATTTTTGTTTAAAAATTATTTCTGCTTAAACAACAGTTTCAAATATTTCTCTTTTGAAGACAGGAAGTTGGTTCAGTTTCAGCAATGTATTGATATAATTTTACATTTTTATAAATGTTGAGGCTGGGTTTAAGATTAGCTGGGCTCACTGCCTGCTCTTGAGAAAAATATTTATAGCCTATAAATTTTGAAAGATTCCCCATAACAATAAAGAACTGCTAACACTAAATACACTTTCCATCTGTTTGAAGACTCATTAACTTCATTTAGTAAGAGGAAAAAAAATTACTAGGTACAACAGGGGTTAGGCCAAATCCTGGTTGCTGCTTGTTTTTTTTTGTTGTTGTTGTAAATAAAGTTTTATTGGAACACAGGCACATCCATTCCTTTCCATATTATATATGTCACCAGTGGCAAAGTTGAGTGGTTGCTGCAAACACCTTTTATCTCCAAAGTCTAAAATATTTACTATCTGGCCCTTTACAGGTAGTTTGCCCACCTGTGATCTAGAATGCTGGGCAGGACAGATCTGTTATTGCATATTTAGGGATGATGAAAGTAGAGTAGGTCCCTGTTTTGCACCAATCTGTGAGCATCAGTAGGATTTAAACATGTCTGGTATGTATGAGGGTCAATGGAAGAGGCACAGCTGTTGTGTATGAAGTTTTTTGGGGGGCCATCATTGGAAGGATCTGGCCAGGAGAAAGACCATCACTTAGCTCAGCTCCAAGGAAGTGTGCCTGGGCCTTCAGTGTGAGAGCTACAGGCAGAAACTGAAGGAGCAAGACCCACCTTGGTGAAATGCTGAGAGCTCTAATTGCACTGCTTTGAACACCTGGTGCCAGGTGGGAGGGCAGGGGCATTGCCCTGCACTTCTGCAATACTGCATGCCCACTTCAGCCTCCCAAGTAGCTGGGACTACAGGTGGGCAACCATGTATTCTCAGTACAGCTGTGGCTAGCTCACAGGCAGTGGCAAGGAAGGTTAAGTCCAGCAGGATGGGCTCTAATGGTGAGCACTGGAGGCAGCTAGGATTTTAGCTTTTCCAGCACCTATTAATATAATTCAGCCACAGACATCCCAGAGGGAATCCAGAGCACCAGTCTTGGTCAGGACACTTTTAAGGAGCAGACACTCAAGCAATGGTTCCCAGAGTGTGGTCCCAGGACCAACAGCAGCATCCCAGGGGATTGTGATGCAAACTAAAATTTGAGAACAGTTTTAAGAGAATTTGTTCCTAATTAAAATGAGTGAGTTTATAAAGATTCTAGGAGAGGAAATCAGCAGATCATCTGCAATTAGAAAGTAGAGGTTGAGATTTCCTGGTACCATGTTTTTTTCTTCTGTTTTCTGTTTTGGAGACAGAGTCTTACTCTGTTGCCCAGGTTAGAGTGCTGTGGCATCAGCCTAGCTGACAGCAACCTCTAGACTCCTGGGCTCAAGCAAATCTGCCTCAGCCTCCTGAGTAGCTAGGACTACAGGCATGTACCACCATGCCTAATAATTGTTCTATATATTTTTTAGTTGGCCAATTTAATTTCTTTCTATTTTTAGTTAAGATGGGTCTCGCTCATTGCTCCATGCTGTCTCGAACTTGTGACCTCAAATGAGTCCCCCTGCCTTGTACCCAGAGTGCCTAGGATAACAGGCATGCCATCTGTGCATGGCCCAGACCATGTCTTGTCCATACTCTTGGTCCCTTCTCTCTGTGCCTGCATGGGGTTCCCCAGTCATTCTTAGAAGACCAGGTTTCTTCTGCCCATTCATTAGCTCCAAATGGCTGCCCCAGCCCTGACCTGACCACTGCCCTGTCCTTCAGTTAAAATATTCCAAAGGAAAACACCTCAGCTTCTGCCCAGCAAAGGATGGGTTTCCTCAGCTCACATGGAAAGGGCTCAGGGTCACGCAGCGGGGGGGCTCTGACTGGGCCTGGGTGGTGGTATGGGGGACAGGTTCCCTGAGAAAGGGCCCTGGAGAGGGCAGGAAGGTTGACCTACATGTCTCCTATAGCAAGAAAATCATGGCAGGCAGAAAATGGGGGGGGGGGGCCGGGTAGCACACATGATATACCTCTAGGAGCTCCCAGAATTAATGTGGAGGGGGAGAAGCTGCAGGTGGCTATAGGGTTTTCCATTACAAGGAGAATAAAAATCCGTTTAGTTATATACCTAAAACAATTGAATTTGAAAATAGGTATTCAAATAGAAATTTGTATGTGAACATGCATTGTAACACTATTCACAATAGCCAAAAGGTGGTAACACCCCAACGTCCATCAGCTAATGAAGGGATAAACAAAATGTGCGATATTATTCAGCAATTAGAAAGAGTGAAATTTTGATACCTACTACAACATGGATGAACCTTGAAAACACCGTTTCAAGTGTGAGAAGACAGTCACAAAGGACTACATTGTTTGATTCCATTTATATGAACTATCCAGAAGAGACCAATCCATAGAGACAAGAAGCAGAATTGTGGTTGCCAGGGGTTGAGGAAAGGAGGGAATGAAGAATGACTGCTCATGTGTACTGGTTTCTCTTTGGGGTGATAAAAGAGTTTTGGAACTAGGCTCGGGAGGGTGGCTCATACCTATAATCCCGGCACTTTGGGAGGTGGAAGCAGGAGGATTGCTTGAGGCCAGGAGTTTGAGACCAA